AAGTGGTCATACCACTGAATAATGCCTAAAATAAGTAAATCTAAATTTGCCTGCATGGATTAATTCTGGCTTCATGATACACCATGAGTAACCTAGGGATGCTAAAAGAAAATTTTGCATGCAAGTACCAATAAGCTTCCTATTTCATACTAGCTTATGAGAAAATTATAAAATTAAAACATTCCAACATATTTTTAGACATTTAGGGAAAGACAATTTTAAAAGCCTCTTACGCAAAACATGTGAAAGACGACACAGCAGCTGCACTGCCTCCTGAGCTCCCTCCTGTTATTACCCAGTTAGACTCTTCATGTTCAGAATGGGACTTTGGGACAGACTTTTCCTTGTACTGTTTTGAATAACTCCAGGGATTTCTGACTGGTCCAAATACTCCATCTGTACTCCCAGAACTAAGATAGTCAGACAGGACAAATACAGAGAGAAGTGACAAATGACACACAATTTTATTTTTTAATCCAATTCCTCTTCATCCTTGCAAATTCAATTTCAATACAAGAAGACTGGTATACGTAAATCCTTAAGAGTCAACTTCTACAACATTACACACAATTGTAAAATTCACAGCTGTTCATCAGTTTCTGACACAGAACCTGAACTCATACTTCTGCTAATGCCACTGAAACAAACAAGAGTCACAAAGACATAAAACTGATTTAAGCTTTGTAAAAGTACAGGAGCACATCCCTTTTCAAAACCAAGGTATTCTGTTTTTCCAGCCCTGCATTTGATGCAAGATCGCTGTTGTGAGGAAAAACAGGCTGCTAGAGGTGGAGAAAAAGCTCCACAATACCAGGAACATTCATTTCTCTGAAATGCCACACTATTATTCACTTTGTAGCCCTCTGCAGAGGGCACAGTTTACTGGTTCAGCATGCCAGACTGGGTTTTCAGAAACTGGTTTCAGTCAGCTTGTGTCGCCAAGTGTGAGCTGACACCAGAAGCAGGGGCAGGGCATACTTTCCTCCTTCCTCAGGCCCTTTACCCCATGCTCCCCTGACTGCAAGGTGCCAGTGTTACCAGCTAAATCATCAGACAGAACAGACAACTGACAGTAGTTGAAAACCAACCTTATTGAGACATGATTACTTTAGAGCTAGATCCACTCCCTGATCAAGAGATCATGCAAACATGCAGAGCAGAATAAGAAATTAGTACTGGGATAAGCTCTTTAGGAGAATCCTCTGCTTTAATGAACTTAGACTAGTTGTAAATACTGCATTATCAGGTTTCTCCCAAGCTTTCTGCCTGCTCTTCCTCTGAGGAATATCTTTTTTACACAAAAATTACTTTATTCAAACCAATATTGTCTAAGTATTTCCACCCCATCCATGTGAATTTCCAATCAAACCTTGGACTTTGGTTTAAGTATAATAAAACCAAAATACTGCATTTACTGTTTTTCACAGGTAACTAAAGATTCCCTTCCAAACCTAGCAGTAATTCCCATCCTTAACAGTCCAATGCCATTCTCTGCTACAGCTTGGCTGCCTTCACTGATTTGCAAAAGAATCAATTTGTAGGAGCATTTGTCAATGTGTTCCTGACAAAAAGTCACCAACATTAGCTTAGGCAACTTAAAAACCTTGCTCTCGATTAGCCTGTGTGCAGCAAGTCAGGGAGTACCCATATAAATTACCCCAGTGGCTGACTGGCAGAGGCAGTGGCTGCCACTGGGGGCATGATAACAATTACCCAAGGGCAAAAAGCCATCAGTAAGGAGAGAGGAAAAGGCAGCAATTAACTGTGTTGTAACCAAGTCTATTAACACACTACTGAATCTACAAGAAGTCCACTTGTCCTCAGCCTTCTGCAAAAGTTGGACCACTTCCTGCCTCTCAAGCACATTTGAACACTATGTTCACAAAACTCAGCGTCTGTATCATTTATGCAACACTATAAACACTCAAGGAGAAGTTCATGCAGCTCTTTGTGTCCTTCCAGTAAGTATTCATTATTGTCTTGCCTCACAGAAACAGGAGTTAAGGATTACAGGTAGATTGGAACAGATGGTATGTATGTTATTTTATGTAAAATCAGCACATTAAAAATAATAAACATCACTTACCCCATTGCAAATTCATCTAGGTTTGTTTTACCTAAAAGCACAGCTCCTTGATCCAGTAACTTCTGAACTACTGTAGCATTGTAAGGAGAAATATAACCTGAAAACAATCAAAATAATTAAGAGCAACTGGTGAGATGCAAATTTTTTTTTACAAGTAGCTTAGTAGCTTCTCTAAACATTTTGATATTGTCATTACCACTCAGACCTTACATAACCTAGGATGAGAACTATGACAGTGACATGAGATCTCAAGTAGTAACTAATTCACTTTGTGAATGACGACGAGGGCTTCTTCACTCCCACTTTCATCAGAAACAAGGACATCACTCCTAATACTCATTGCGATCAATCACAACAGGTCTGAGGATGTGCTTTAAGGAAAAGCATCTATAACAACTTTTACAACAGTGAAGTCATATTTTGTTTCTTCTGCTATTAAAAAAACCATAATCAAATTAGAGGTCTGCTAATTTACTTCTGCTATCTTCCTCAAGGATTAATATAGTCTTACTTTGCACAGAATAAAACAGGTGTAAGAAATGTTTCCTACTTTTGTTTTTACTATAAAAACATTGTAATGACTTGAAAATGTTCATGAACTGTTAATAAAAACAATGAGTTTAGGAAATTAAAAAAAAATTCCTTAAAAGCATTATAGAGTGATTGTATGTTGGACTGTTAATATCTACTTTTCCTACAGCCATATCAAAAAACTATTTAAGTCACCAATTATAAACAGAACAACAACAAAACTGGACTGTCTCTGGATTTCACTAGGCAGAACAGTACTGACTGCTCTCCTCTAGACCTAAAAGCAATGTGAAGGAAAATGCAAGTTTTGGAACCATTTTATTGTAGTTTTATTATTTATTATTATTTTATTTGTTTTTTTAATGTTTTTAAATGCATACAATTATAAAGAAATAACATGCTTAGAAGAAGAAAAAGATCTATCTGTAATACCAGATGAACTTGGCTAGTGAAATTGGATAAACATATTTCCTCAAATGATACCAGCTCATTTTTCAAAAATACTTGGATTTCTGCAAGCCTCCAGTCCATAAACCCTCTAAAGAGCAAAAGATCTGATTTTACTTTAAAAGCTTTACTGTACCTTTTAACATATTTGATGCACATGTTGTCTCAATGCCAGCTGTATTAAAGTTGTCTTTTACAGCAATAGGAATTCCATCTAGAATGCCCAGTGGCTGACCTGCATTAGGAATGATTATAAAACAACAGAGATTAAAGCAAAATGTGCTCTATAAATATAAAGTTCTCATCAATTACTGTTTATTTTACATATCGCTTTGGGTGGTTTTTGGACGCAAGATTGCTTTCCACTTGGCACTTGATGGTTGTCTGTTCCATTCTCAAGAACCGTCTTCCATTCCAGCTCAAGCATTGAGCACTGTGCCCAAACCAGACCTCATGTCTAAGCCCTCCACCTGCTTCCATCCAGGCTGGCTATCCCAAAGGAGTGCATTCCAATGGGACCACACAACACTTATTTCAGCCATAGGTGCTACTAAATCCACTCCATCACTAGGATGGCAGCCATAAACACTGCCTAACTGACGTACACAGTAGATTAACTACTGAAGCAGAGAAAATCCTTCCCAAGTAACTGATTATCCACCATCAAAAAAAAACCCAACCCAAAAATGAAATGGCCTACATCAGGAAGCAAAACAACCTGGCTGACAATTTTATTGAGCTGCCAGAGGACAGCAAGTGTCACCCAGGAAGGAAACTGTGTACTCTATTGGGTGAAAATTTAACTTTCCTGCCTTTCTTGAAACACAAAGGCAAAATGAGGATGGCCATCTCCTAAATGCTGGAGATAACGGGACTGAAAACTGTTCTGTTCTCCTATTACTAACTGCAATTAATAAAGCTACTTTATTTTAATTTGTTTTCTTAATTAAAAATTCAATAGGTTCTGCCAGCTGTTTGCCTATCCCAGCCTGGAGGCCTGTGAATGACCACTGCATTTGCCTATTCATAGCACTTGTTGGCTACATATTCTAAATGAACTGCTGAGGCAAAGAAGCAGCAGACACCAAGCAGCAGTGCTGTCCAAGAGGCACAGAGGCTATTTAACCTGCAGTGCCTTGTTCAGTCCAGACTGTTTTTTGGCCTAAATACTCTCCTGAGTGCCAAGTGTACGTCCACGAGCACCCACGGAAACCTCAAGCGTGAGCCTCATCCCCCAACAGTCAGACAAGCCAAGACATCCCCTTTAAAAAGCAAAGGTGCTTCGTCTAACAAAAAGAGCTCCTCCACAGCAGCTTTTTAAGGACTGACATTACTTACAAACCAACATACCTCTTTTATATCTTTTCTCTGATTCTTCAGCCTGCTTCAAAGCGGTCTCTTCCGTTACGGTAATGTACGCATTCAGAAACTTGGTGGTTCTGATGAGGGCCAGGCATCGCTGGCACAGCTCCGTGGGAGTGAGTCGTCCTTCCTTCAACGCCGCCGACACCTGAGAGCGCAGCCCGTCGTTCGGGGCAGCCGGGGGACAGAGGCCGCGCCGGGGCGGAACGGGAAGAACGCGCCATCCCCGCTGAGGGAAGGTGCCACGGGAAGCGCTCTCCCGGGCCGCCCCGGGGAAGGGGGACGCCAGGGGACCCGGGTCACCTTGCGAACCCGCCCCCCTCCTCGACACCCCTACCCCGCTCTTTGGCATCCTCAGCAGGTGGACAAACCGCACTCACCTGTCGGAGAGAGGTGCGCAGCATGGCTGCCCCTGCCCGCCGCCACCTTCTCACGCCCGCCGAACGACCCTCACCTTCCCCCGCCGCGGCAGCCGCGCGCCGCCATCTTGCCGCAACACCCCGCGGCGCCATTGGCAGGGCGGCCAAGAAGGCGGCCGCCCATTGGCTGCGGGGGCCGCCGGGCTGAGCGCTGAGGCGCGCCGTGGCGACCCGGCCCGATCCCGATCTGGTCCTTATCCCGATCCCCATCCCGAGCCCGGCCCAGCCCGGCCCGGCCCGGCCCGGCTGCCCTGGCTATGCTGTCGTGGGGAGCGGCGGGCGGGCGGGCGCTGCGCTGGGCGAACGGGCGGGCACCGGCCCGCGGGCTCCGCGCCTCTCCGCGGGCGCGGGTCGCCATGCCCAGCTGGGTCATAGACCGGTACGGCAGCAACGAGGTGCTGCGCTTCACCAGGGAGATGATGTTCCCCATCATACACTTCCCGAACGAGGTCATCATTAAGGTTCACGCTGCGAGCCTGAACCCCATCGACCTCAGCATGAGAAGTAAGTGCCGAGCCCGAGCAGCCGCGGGCGGGCTGCCGGGATGGCAGGGGCTGCGCTGGGGCACCGTCCTGCCCGCACTGTCCCGGGCTGCCTCAGCACACGTGTTTCCCGAGCCCTGTGGGAAACCGCCGCCTCTTGGAAACTCGACCTTTTTTCAGGTTCTCGGGGAAGAACGATACAAAAAGCCACTGGCAAGAGTGTGCGTGTGTGTGTTGGGAGGGTGCACTCTTAATTGAGTGATTGTGGTGCTGCTCTCGACTGAGAGACGCCCGGCCAAGGAGCAGCATTCTCCCTAAGTGATGCTGGATTTTCCCATCTCCTTGCGGTGAATGGGGCTGGAGGTCCAAGTTGCTGCCAAGTCGGCATGTGCGACCTAAGGCAAACCCTGGTGTTCATTGCCATGCCTATCCTGAATTGGCATCTGGGGACGTGCTGTTATCCCGCCCAGGAAATCTGTCTCTCTCACTGGCCGGCTCTTCGTATTTGACACAGTCAATCAGATTTTCTTCCCCAGCTTCTGGGTTTGAAACACAAGAAGGAAATTGTGGTAATAGAATACCTTATATTTCCTGTGTAGAAGTGCTTTCATATCAAATCAGATGCAGTAGAATTAGCCAATAGCAGGAAGCCTGCTGACAGAGCTCTAATCTGTGTTTTGGGTCTCTAATAAATGAATTTTAAAAAATTTTTCCATATAATTAGGGGTTTGGTGATGGGACATTTCCTATCTGAGGATTCCTGTTAAGACACCTTCTGGCATGATAGGGCCCTTAGGTGGACTTGTCCCAGCACTTGAGTGGGTATACATGCCCAAATGCAGGCTATTTTTAGGCTGAGCACTGTTATTAGATGGGTAACTCTGAGACTTCACAGAATTTGTCTGTGCTTACTGAATAGAAGTCCAGGTTACTCATCTTAGGAGATATGCCTTATTATTTTTTACACTTGCTCTTTATTTCTAAAATCTGTAAAAGTGTGAAATATTGCAGATTTTTTGCATGCTTCAGTTGTAACAGAAATGAGGCATCTTATGGATGACAATGCTTTTTAATTGGAATTGCACAATTAATAAATGAGCATTCAATTGTGGTGTGTTGTGGTTGATTCCATGTTTTGCAGGTGGTTATGGTGCAACTGCGTTAAATATGAAGCGGGATCCCCTGAAACTCAAAACAGGCGAGACTGAATTTCCTCTAACGCTTGGTCGAGATGTCTCTGGTGTTGTTATGGAATGTGGACTGGGTGTGTCCTATTTCAAACCTGGAGATGAGGTGAAACCACCAATCTCTTCCCCCCCCCCCCCCAAAAATGTATAGTTAAAATATACTATGAGATGTTCAGCATTCATTCTCATCTTAATTTTTTTTTAATTCTGTTACACTTTTAGTAAGGCCTATCTGGCAGTAAATTCCTGGAATACTTTCTTCCCTTTGTTTTTTTCTCTGGAAAACATGGTCTTTCAGAGACTTGTTTCTGCAAGTTAATTTCCTTTCTGTGTTTTAGTTTTTGGACCATTGCAGCAGTAGCAAGAGTGGAATTTGTTTGTTTATAAGTGCACACTCAAAGTGCCAATTTGTTTTCAATTGAAAGTAGAATTCTAATGAGAAGGGATTTGTTTTTATTTTTCTTGAGTAACTTGGAGTAGGAACTTCGGCTCAACCCAAGAAGTACTTCATGGGTGCCCACAGAAATACTGATACTGTTTGCTTTCACCTTCACCAGTTGCTTTCAGATTTCACCAGTTTTAGCTAAGCAAATCCTGATTCTGCACCACCCTCACCCCTCTAATCTGGGCTTTCCTGGCATGGGAGTAGTATGGGGGCAGTTGAAAATTATGTCTTATACACAATGCAATGGTACAATTTATTTACATAGCCCTCCAGTCCTACATTTAGTCTGTTTTGTGGGGGTTTTTTTGTGTGTAAAATAAGCCAAAACTGGTTTCTGATAAACAGTGAGGACATTCTGTGAATTAGAAAAAAGATTTCCTTAACAAAGGAAACTTCTGTGTACATACAGTTGTGTGCAAAAGTACAAAAATTGATAGTTGTTTCCTGTTTGGTTTTAGGTGTGGGCAGCAATTCCCCCATGGAAACAAGGCACTCTGTCAGAGTTCGTGGTAGCTAGTGGAAACGAGGTAAACTTCCAAAACTCTGGCTAACAAAACCTCAAAGTTGTAAAGACTGGCATTTTTCTTTTTCAGTATCTAAGTAACTTTATTTCTTAGTGCTTGGATTGATTTATACTCTAGCTAGTGTTAAAGATGGCTGAAAATGTGCAATACACAATCTGAAATTCAGTAAAGCTTTTTTAAGTATTTCAGTGTCACATAGGAGCTGCTGTGTGACTTAGTAATGATTTTATTTCAGGTATCTTTTAAGCCAAAGTCTCTCAGTCACACAGAAGCTGCTGCCTTACCATATGTTGGTCTCACTGCGTGGTCTGCACTTAACCAAGTGGGAGGACTGAACCGAAATAATTGTAGTGGGAAAAGGTAAGTAAACAGTTCTGGTGCTAAAACTAAAGTTCTTAATTTTTATATTGATGAGCTGCTTCTAAGACAAGTCCAGCAGCAATAAAGACTGTTATACCGTGACATTCCTAAGGATCAGTTGTCTGAGGATGATGCATTCTCGCTACACAGCTGCTGAGAGAGGCTTCTTTAGAGGAAGGCTCAGATGAGGTCCCTATATAGAGATAAAAAAATGCCCAGAGAAGTTGTGGATACCCACACATCCACAAGTGGAAATACTTAAGGCCATGTTGTGTGGAGCTCTGGGCAGCCTGCCCCATTGGAGGGTGTCCCTGTCCACAGCAGGGCATTTAGAACTAGATGATCTTAGAGGTTCCATCCAACCCAGGCTCTTCTATGTTTCTATCATAATCCCATGTATATCTATGTAGAGAATTTGAGGATGTTATCTCCAGGAATTTGTAGGGACTTTGCCTGTCTTCCTGTTAAGACAGCTAGCCAAATGTAATATTCTCTGAGTTATACTGGCAGCTCACAAAAATCCCTCTCAAGGACAGAGATGTGGTTCACTCACTTCCTGCATGCATGGGCCATTTGGGGCAGACTGGTCTTCCAGCTTTTTAGAGAAAAATGAGCAGGTGACTGACTCTTATTTGACCTGCAGGTCAGAACTTTGATGAGGTCAGGAATGAAGAAAAGAAAAGGAGAATGTACAAGACGAGCAGCCAGTCAAATAGAAAAATTGACTTTGTTTATCAGTCTGTTGATCTGACAATGGCAGATGAGGAAAAATGCAGTGAAAGATTGGAGCAAATACCATTTTTCTCCTGATAATTGAAATTTTCAGTTATTTTGACCTTTGGATGTTGGGTAAATAGATAGCAAAATCTTCAGAATGGAAATAATGACAGAAGTAAAACAGGGGTTGAAAAACAGTAGTTAAAATTACTATGCTGCATCACAGGTTTAGGTCATAAAGTAATTACTGGGCAACAGGAGTCTGGATGCCTGACCTCTTATCTTGGCTGATACTTTGTAATGCAACACGTTGCAAAGGACTCTGGATCGATTTAAATTTTTCACCCATGTCTCTGAAGACAATCAAGTGAGTGGTCATTCATGTGTCATAGTGAACTTCATCATGAAAATATTGAGTAATAGTTTTTTCCATAGATAAACAATGTTTTGAGATGAAAATTCAAAATTTAAAGGTGTTTCAAAGATACTTAATTGTAATTAACTTCCAGCTAGTAATAAAATTCTAGATAAGATCACCTTTTTATTTTTCAGTGTTTAGACTTTTTATTATCTTAATTTTCACATGTAAATAGAATTAACCTAAAGATTCACTGATAGGCTAGATGTATTTGTCTTTCCAATCTTCAGGTAAGTGTTTAGATTGTTAACAGTAAAATTGAAACTGGATTTGTAATGTGTCTTTAGATTTAATATTTACTTTCATATTCCAAATAATTTTTTAATTATGTTGTCAGCAAGAAACCCATTTTAATGTACTGTAAAATATTATATTTCCTGTCTATAAATTTTGAACTGTAAAACCAGCAGTGAATGACTTATGTGATAGTACCTTTTTTCCCCTGAAATATTACTTGTAAGAAAATGTTTAAAATGCGTTGAAAAGGTTGTGCAAAATAATATTCCATGAACTCTCAGGGTAATAATTTAAAAATATGACAATTTATGCCATGTTTCCTAATTTCTTTAGATCATGTACTTGGTGAGAAGTTACCTACATGTGTGATTTTATGTCAGTCTTTTTGTCTCCTGTAGTTGTAGGTAAATAGCTATGTAGAAGGGTGTATATGCACACAAAAATGTCTTATTTTGGCAAAGCAGATGTATTCCTTGATGAAAGCTACTTCACTGGTGCTTTAGTGCAATGTTAAGACATCTTAAAAGCAGTGAGATTTTTCTTTGCCTCTTTCAAGGCATTAGTGTGGGCTAACCAGAAACACTTGCTGTTAGTCCAGTTCTGGCGGTGCATTGATCTGAGAGATTATCTGTTCCACCTACACATACTTTCACAGGTTATGTTTTTACAAGTTTCCTGAAGTGTGCTCTCATTGTTTGTGAACCCTCCACCAATTCCAGTCATTTTTCCATAGTTTTTATTCTATGCCACTCTAATTAATGTCAATATTCTTGTAGAAGTTTAAATGTTCTTACTATCCTAAATGTTCAAAATGACTGTGTTGTGTTGAAGTTCTCTGTGGATACCTGGAGCTTCTCATGTGTGCCACTGACCTGTTTCAGTAGAAAGGGGATATGGTTGTTCAACACTAGCTGTTAAATATCTTACTTTCCGTATTCAAAAAATGCATGACATAAACAAACCTGACAGTTTGAGAAGTTATTCAAAGTGCTTACATTGCTTTTAAGTGAAACTCTTTATGTAAATACAGAGGCAATATCTTAGACTTGCATCTATGTTGGGCAGAGATGCTGGATTCTGTTAATGTAAGCTACCAAATGTAGACTCCTGGTCTATATGGTTACAGTGAAAATTTGGATGGTATAACACCCCAAGAAAATATTTTTTCAATGTCTGTGTGTTATTTCATCATTTTGTCTGTGGAGAAGTTGAAATTGAGTGTAGGTTGTAAAACTTCTTGAGAGGGTAAACACTGCTTGATCCAGGAATAAATTTCTTTAGGACATTTTGTTGGAATAATCAAATGACATATAATTTTATATCTAAATAAAGTTGATATATTTAGTCAATAAATACATTAATTTTACAGCTATATAAAATTGATGTATTTATTCAATTGTTACCTTGTCTGTAACTCAGTAACTGAAATTTTTTTATTGTTTATAATCTGGAGAAAATATTAGTCCTTGATCTGTACACCCATTCCCCACCTTCTGCATGTTCTGAGTGGGGAGTGCACACAGCTGAAACAGGTCCTGCCTCTCTGATGCTCGTTTCTGACCACACCATAGCTCCAAGCAGGGCCCAGGGAGATGGGCTAAACTTTCAAATCTCATGGTGTACTTATTTGGAGAGATGTGCTGCCTATGATTGTTTGAACTGCTGGAGCCCCATGGAGGGCTTGGTGAATGTTGTGCCTCTGTCAGAAGGGAGGAAAGCCTGGGATACAGATGTTCTTTTTATTCTTTTGAAAGAATTGGTTCTTTTGGATCTCTGTCCAAGTCAGATTTGTCAATTTGGTCTATGGTGCACATACTTGTATATTAGTTTACTCCTAAGCTCACCCTTGCAGTGAAAACAGGTGGTTTCTATGATGTGTTTTCTCCTGGCTGTGTTTTCCTGAGGCAGTGCAAACAAAACTTTTCCTGCTTTGGGAGTTGCCACCATCTGTCATTCAGTACTGTCCTAACAGGTCCTGCACCTTCAAACATTCCCCCTCTTACTTGTGTGTCTTGCTGTTGACAGTGCTGTTGAGCTGCTGCACATGGACATGAATCTCCTGTGCAGATGTAGTTTGTCTCAGAAATGAAGAGCTTTCTTGAAGTCACAATGTGTGGAGAGAGTTTTAATAATTGGAAGATGTGGCAGAAAATGGCCCATGTAACATAGGGACAAACTGAATCTGGAAAGTATTTCTACCTGAAGGAATCCTGAGGGCTTTTATTGAAGGGGAAAATTTAAAAAAGTCCTAGCCATGCTGCTCCCCAAACTGAAAATGTTACCAAAATCAGCTGAGTAAATTGTACCTTTTAAGATGACAGCTTTCCCCCAAATATGTAGTAGAAGTGCCCTTTTTAACTAAGGAGTGAAATTGAAAAGGTTTTTTTGAAAGGATTTAATTTTTGACTGTCCTTTTTAAGGATGAAGATGGGTTTAACCCAGTATCTTGAGTGCAGGATCCCAGAGCATTTTCAAGTATACTGAAGTCAAAATATGCGTGTTGCTCCAGGCATCTGTCGTTAGAAGCCTGGTTCTGAGGATAAGCACATTTTGGCAGATTTGAAAGCTGCAGGCTTTGTGGTATTGTGGTTTCATATTCTTAATCTGAATTTTGCAGCTTGGATCAGTGAAATGGAAGGGAACAGAATCTGATCACTTACAAAAGGAGCATTTTAAAATGGATAGTGTGACCAAAGCCAAGTCTCTTAAGCTACTTCAAAGAACTTTTGTAAACTGAGACTCCAGATTGTATAGTACAGTTTTGTACTGTAAAAAGCAATTTCCTTCAACATCTTTTACTGTGAGATTTAAAACAGGAATTTTACCAGCTTCTGAAGATTCTGAGATTTTTCTGGCAAACAGAAGCTCTGAAAAACATGATGTTCCCCAATTCTGTGCCAGGACTTCATCTTGGATCTTCTTTTTGTCCTAGAATTAGCAAATGGATTCAAAGTCAAATCACTGTTTGCAATTTGAGCTGCAAGCTTTTCTTACTAATTCACTTTCTGATGTTTAGTTATTTAATAAAATATTTGGATGAAATTTTTGAACAGTGATTAGGCTTCTAGCAGTAAGGTCCTCACACAAGTAAACTTTATTAAATTTTTTTGGAATTTTGGGTTAGCAATTAAAATGAACTCTCAATTGCTAATAATTTGGCAGTATACTCTTTCATTTTCTTGCTTGTGTGCCAGTTCCCACAAGCTGGAATTTACAGGGTCTTGTTGAGATGTACTGGAAGGGACTAGAAAAATTCTACTGCCTTTTTTCCTAAAGAAAATTATACCTATCTTAATTTAATAGAAATTAAACTTGTTAGTGGTGAGAGTACTTCACTGTATTTTTGTCTTTTATATAAACATTATGTTCCATATGTTCTGCAGTTCACAGCCTCTTTAAATAATGTGATATTAAACTACTTTTTCACTTAGATAGGAACACTTTATGTAAAATGCTGGTGAATTTGATTTTTTTTCTGTAGGAGATATGACAGTGGAGTCTAGGAGACAGAAAGGGCTCTTAATTGATTTTGTCTCAAACCAAACAATTACGTTTGGGAAAATGAGGACAGGCACAGGGTTTTTGAGTGACATAAGTGCTACTACCTGACAGCTCCACTGCCTGCATTTAGTGGAAAGCACATATGAGGAAGTTTCTTTGGCTGTGCTGAGATAATGTTTTTGGCACAGGACATATGGTCAGCAATGTTAAGTCACATTTTTGCCTATCTGAACGGTTAACCACTCTCAAATGACATTGAATGACAAAACCAGTCTTTTGGTAAAAATAATTCAGTGTCAGAGATGTGTAAAAAACATCAGAATACATAGTTTACTCCAGAGTTTATTTAAAGAACTATTAAATATATTTTAATTTTCTCTTACAGAATATTAATATTAGGAGCTTCAGGAGGAGTTGGTACATTTGCTGTACAGGTAATATTATCCAGCATGCCCAGGATGAATCTTCAAGTGTTTCAGTATGAAAAAAACTAACAGAAGGGAATTGAGAGAAGGAATAGAGAAATAGCAAGCTACTGATCAGTGTGCCTGATCGAGATGATTTATATTTCCAAAAGTAAAGTATTTTCAAATTTATTGCTTTCCATTTATAATGTTGTATTATTTTATAGTAGGAAGCAGGGACTTTCAAAGAAAGGAGTTGTGTGTAAGATCACATTTCACAATTTGGTTGCAGGAAATTTCTTGATTGGTGTAACTTGAAATATGTCACCTGTTCTCATTATCTTTCATTCAGCTCTGTGCTCTAAACATGAGCACAACTTAGTGTATCAGTAGGAAAACTGATGGGGAATGTCACCTACCACAACTACTGTAGTTGGTCAAATGATGTGAGAGGCCATCAGGCTTTTGTGTGCAGTGGCTGTAAAGCACAGAGGCTTAAATTTACTTTCCCTCACTGTATTTGCCCTGCTGCCCTTTTGTCTGTCTGTTCTAGCAGCTCTAAACTTTGGAAAGTCAACATGCTCTTTTGTTGCTTCATTAGTTGTGGAACATCCTCTTTCATGCTCTCAGTTAATTTGGGAGTTTTGATACTAATTACTGTCATCTCATGCTGAGAAATCTTTCTCTCAAGATTATAAAAAAATACAGAAGTTGGGTGATTGCATCACTGCTTTCCATGTTACTAGGCCATAAGCATAGTGGTTTTAAAGAGGTTTACAGCAGAATTTTTTTTTTGTAGTATGCTATTTGCCTCATCTATGATAAAGCAGGTGATGACTTTCAGTATGAAAGGCTGACAAGCCAACTGATCAGTCCTGGATGAATTAAGTTAATTAACCTGGAATAAAGGTAAAAAGTTTTACTGTGAATGAAAAAAAATGAGATGCAAAAAGAGATAAATAATTAGCAAAAGTCCTTTGCTGTAGCTTTTGGAGTAGACAATAACCTGATACTGTCCCTATGATTACTTCCGTATTTTTCTTTTTACTAGTACTTAACATATTTGCAGTAATATGAAATAATTAAAGGACATATTTAATAATATTTAATGGTACATCTGGTGCCAGTTTGGTAGATTGGCAACTTGGACAGTATCTCTTGGTGTATGTTTAGCTGGTAGACTAAACATACAGATGGCAAACTGAGAGTTTTATTTTTCATGAGACCTGCTATCTTTCAGTGGCATTAAAAAACCCCCACACTCTTTTCTTTACACCAACTCCTCCCTCCCCACAACTGTCTTAAATATTCTAGCCATTATTTTGTCTGTGGGATTTGTGAGAAATTATCCTGTATTGGTACAGTCCCTATTAAAGGTGCTCATTTGTTATATAAATATAATGAGAATATAATACTTTGGCTTTTTAAGTTATTCTCAATATTTTACTAAATTTTAATCTTTGGACTTCTTTTTTTTTTATACTTGTTTTTAGCTAATGAAGGCCTGGGATGCTCACGTGACAGCAGTTTGCTCTCATGATGCCAGCACACTGGTGAAAAAGCTTGGAGCAGATGATGTGGTTGATTATAAATCTGGAAATCTGGAAGATCAGCTTAAAGCATTACCCTTGTGAGTGTTTGTGTTGCTTTAATCCTGAGATGAAGGAGTTGGTGGTCAGACCTTCTGCTTTTTGATTGCTTGACTCTGCCAGAAGTCCCTAGATTTTTCCTCATTTTTAAAGCATTATTTTGTAAAGCAGATTCACCTTTTTGAATGCAGTTTGCAAGTGAGTATGCCCAAGACAGATTTCATTGTAACACTAATCCAGTTAACTCGGGGACAAGCTCACTTCCATGTGCTTCTCTTCAGTGATTGTAATACGAATAGTTTTGTAGCTTCCATCCAAGTATCTTGGAGAATATACAATGCATTAATAAATTGAAAGAAATCTATGAAGTCCTGAGTGAAGCTGGTAAATAAAAAATTGATTTTATAGAGGAAAGAACTATATAATGAAAAAGTAGCGACTTGTCACTGTGCAACTCAACTGGGAGTAAATTTCTAATCTGTAACATTGGATACCGCTGCCTCTGAAAAACAATCACATTTATCTTGTCACAGCAGCTATGTTTAAACTAGGCTGGGATTTTTCTCTGGAACAGGAGTATTTTTTGCTTTTGTCATCTTTCCATCTGTTTAAACTTAGTTTACTGTGACTTGTATTTGAATATGGTATTTATGCTGCTCTTTTTAGCTAGATTGAGTTAACTTTCTGGGAGGGGAAATAGAAGCTGCTTGATCTATGGAAGAATTTTACTGGTAACTGTGCTAAGAAGCCACGTGCCCTTTAACTGCAGTGTAATTGTCAGCAGGCCTGAGGGGAGTTGTGAGGGCAGTGACACTGTCTGTACAGCAGGATGGACTTTGCAATTGGTGCAGAATTTGCCTTTCTGAACACTTCAAATGCTAAACACCCATTCTTGCAAGTGACCCTTGCTAAGAGACATCAACAACAGTGTCTTGGGGTGCAGTTTAATGATGCAACTAGGCTATCAGTCAGCTCTACTGAGTGGGATGTTCCTGCTTCCCTCCCCATTGCAGTTGTACTGACTCTTTAGAACCCACAGTCAGCTACTCTTTCCAGAGCATTAGTTTTCATGATCTTCTCTTGTTGGCAGCTAACTGTTACATGAACTGAACTTTAAACAAGAAATCACACTCTTGGAAGACAAGCAGGAAAACTGACATTCCAGAGAAATAAGGACTTTTCTATTTAATATGCATAAAGTATTTTCTCTCATATTTGTAGATTGTTTAGATTAGAGAAATGTGTATATACATATCTCTTGCAATCTGGAGATTGCTGGAAATTTACAGATGAGAATGAGTTGTGCATTTAACAGAACAGGTGCATAGCTCCCTATTGCCCTATTCAGCCTTCACAGGCTTACATGCTGGTATTATAATGAGAAGGAACACTGAAACTGTGGCTTTTTGCCAGAGGCTGCATATACCCATTCCATGGGGGGAAGGTTTTAGATCCTTTGCATTGTTAGGTTCAATGTTAAATGCGTACACATGAAGAAAAGGGCTGTCAGGAGAGGTAAAATGACCCCTAAATAAATAAGGAGGTCAAAAAAAAAAAAACTTGGAGAAGTGAAGCTGAGAACTGGGTCACAGAAAAGATGTGAGGAAATAAGGGTTAGTATAATAATTTGTTTACGTAATTTCAGCTACTCAAACTGACTTTCATTGAGTACAGCATGTACAAGAGCTGTTCCTAGTTGAGGGCATGAGTCCAGACTAGTTTTTACATGTACATACCATATTGTTCAGTGCTAGAGCTCATAACTGTTTGTGTAGTCTCTGTGGGAGGGCTGAAGAGATAGAGCTGTAGAAGGCTTTAAGCAAGTAGAGAATGTAGTTGTGCATCTAAGTTTGCTTTTTGGAGTTTAAGTGTACTTTATAAATAGCCTGTGTCTGCTGCACAGTGAATAGGCAATAACCTGTAAATTTAAATCCCATTGTACATTAAGCTGGGACTTTTCTGAAGTCTTGGGACTTTCTTACTGCTACCTTGCAGGCTGATTTTCTTTTTTGCATTGCAGTGACATGTAAAAATGTGAAGTATAGGTGATTTCTGCTATTCATTAGCTTAATTACAGTGAAGTTATTTTTTCCATCTCAGGATTTTAAACCTGTTCTTTGTATGTCTGCAGGTTTGATTTTATCCTAGATAATGTTGGTGGATCTACAGAGAAGTGGGCACTAGATCTCTTGAAGAAATGGTCAGGAGCAACATATGTTACTTTAGTGACACCTTTCCTGATCAATATGGACAAACTTGGAGTGGCTGATGGCATGTTGCAAACAGGAGTCACTGTTGGTTCCAAAACTCTAAAGGTATTTGACAAAATCTTATGTACTTTCATATTTTGTAGTACTTTAGTGACTACTTCTGTGGCTTGGATGTCAGTCACAGACCTCATGGAGAGGCAGCTGTTGCATTGTCCTCATATGTCATTAAGTATACTTTTCTTTCTTTCTTTCTTTCTTTCTTTCTTTCTTTCTTTCTTTCTTGCACTGAAATGTGTTGGGGTGGTGCTTCTGGGTGTATGTAGTAGCTTGGGGAGCTTTGAAGTTTGATTCCTTATTGTGCTTTCCATTGTGGCCTTTTCCATGTGGCTTCCCTAGTGAGTCCTGCTGACAGCCAGGGTTTCATAGTAAACACAGCAAATCTCTGCCTCACTGAAGTGAGGGCAGTTTTGTTATTTGCTTTAGGCTGGTCAGGCTTTCTCTCAGAACATTGTTCCATGAGTGATTCTCTTCATCCTGTTCCAGCACCAGAGAGTAATAAGCATGGTCAAGGGTGGCTAGGAAGTCTTTCATCTCTTTCATGTTCATGTGTCTAGATGGTGATACTGATTTTTCTAGTTTTCATAAGTGGATCTTAAAACATTCTGCCAGTGGCAAGATCATGGGGCTTTTTAGAACTTTTCTCTTTCTTCCCTATGCTTGTGTACTTGCTCTCCAAATGAATGCTTTTTAAGCAGTTGCTATGGTATTCCTGCAAAGGCTTGGCTGAAAGGGATTTTAAGTCCTGCAGCGTACCTTCTCAAGAAAGCCCAAAGACAAAATGAAATGGTGGGGAAGAAATAATGTAATATTATTTCTCAGTATGGGTGTTTCCATGATGAAGAGGATTCTATGCCATATATAAAGATCATCTCTCTTTGGCAGATGATGCCTTTTTTTCCTGTAATGACTTACTCTTGACTTATGTGTGTGAGATCTTCCCGAAATGCTTTTCATGTGAGCTGCCATCTTTCATTGGACAATGATGACTTTGGCAGATATTATGGTGGAAAATGAAGTCACCAATTGCTGAAGTTAGGTTCTAAGTATAACATTGCTGGGTTTATTTCGCCCCTATTTCGAGTGTACATGAACACATAACACCATTCCTCTCTTATGTAACAAACAGTGCTGTTTCTAGCTGCAGAGACAAGGTAATTGTTTTTCTCTACTAGCTGACTTGTTCAATTGGATGCACAATTCACCCTGATCCTATTGTGGTAACACAACATCCTGGTCTGTACATTTAATCCATGTGCTTAGGTGCTGTTTTTTTAGACACTAGCATATAATTTCCATGTCTTTTCCTTCAGTTACTTTTTCAGAGATTCTGTCATTAATTTTAGTTCCCATTCCAGTTTGCTCTCATGATATTTTAATAGATTTGTGATCTTTCTTGCAGCATCTCCTTAAAGGAGTCCATTATCGGTGGGCATTTTTTATGCCAAGTGGCCCAAGTTTGGATGAAATAGCAGAACTGGTTGATTCTGGAAAGGTATGTTGTAATGGTTACTTGGGTGTTTGTGCTGAAAGAGATGCTCCTTGGACTCAAAAATGGTGTAGTTCAGTGTTGAGAAATAAAATTTTATGAGTCGTGGTAAGGAAAACTGGTTAAAAATCAGCTTGTTCCAGTTTCTGACATCTGCCTTTTGCATGGAATTTAGGAGTTTGTAATGTTTAAGACTGTTCTGCCCTCTCCTTCTTGAGCATACTTTTTAAAAACATAAAGCTTACAAAATTACAATGAGTAATGTCCAGTGATTGTTTATTTTTGCCAGTGGGAATCATTGAATATGAACTCTATATGAAAATTGTGTTTTAAGAGGCCTCACTTGGTTCTTTTGGGCAGAATAAACATGGCTGTGTATCTGCATATTCAAAATTGTTTTGCCTGGATGGTTGGGCGTCCTGCCCGTAGTTTGCACAGAACTAGTATATTCTGGTTACTGCAGGTAATAGATGATCTCCGTTGGCAGAGTGGTGACAAGAATCTTGTTTTTCATTATTTCAGTGCTGCAGATTCTGATGTTTGTGCTAATTCAGCATAGGGACTTGGATTATTGTGAGCATTCATAAGCTTCTGGGGAATATTAATGGACTTGGGGGGGAAAAGCCAAGACAGAGTACGTCTGCTTTTGTGATCTTTTCAGGTTTATGAGCTTGTTAAAAAATATATTGTGGGAGTGAACAGTTGATTTCCTATGTTTTAGATTGTGTGGTGATATAGGCCCCAGCAGTGTCCTCTTTGGGAATTTTGGTAGCATGAAATTATCCAAGAGTAGAGAATATGGACAACTGCTGTTAATCTTTCTGTGGTAGTTAAGCAGAAGAGTAAGCAGAGTGACTGCTGGTATTTCCAGTATGTGAACTGCCATCTTCTGCTCAAAATTTGTGCATATTAGTAAAATTTAGATCTCTCAAAGTCTGAGTGTTGATCCCCCTTTTTTGGTATGCAGTATGTTCCAGAGTTTGGAAATGAGTCAATAAACTGCTGTTGTACTGAAGACCTGATTGCTTCTGTTCTGCCACCTCAGTGATGCTGCTAAGAATAAAAAATTCTCTGCTTTGCATTATGTCCAGTGCTGTAGGCATAATCCTGGGGTCAAGAAAGAGGCTGTAGAAAATCCTCATCCTATGATTGCATTCAGTCACACTGCTAAATTATTAGTGTCTAAGAAAAAGGAATGCCCTTGTCTTTGTTCCTACCATTTGTCCTGTTCTCAGCCAGTTGCAATTTGTTTTGTGTTCTGCTTCAACCTTGTATGCAAAACAAATGCAGACTATGCTCATGAAAGCCTCTTGGGAAACAGCTGTTTATGCAATAGAGATAGGGCTTAATCAGTGTTCTTTGCTTAATAACCTGCACAGGTGAACTGCAATGCCACTTAAAATGTACGTCATACATACATGAATGTCCTGATGTACTTCTGGTTGTAAGATGATCATGAGGACAAAGATGTTTGCTTGGTCGTTCGTTCTTTGTGCAAAAACACATCCTAGTGTCAGACTGTCTGCAGAGTCATTATTCTAGCAGCATTTTACTCTATTTTGTGAAATGTTGTAAACATCTGAGCTGTCATCAGGAGTTTATAAGACCCAGTTGTGTTCCATTTAGACAGATATTAATAAGACTATGACCTTTCTTGTTTAGACACAAGAGTTCTCATAAGAGGACAGATTATCCGTTCAGAAGAGTAGGTGTTTGGGAAAAAAGGCAGGAGAGAATCACTGGAGAAATTGTACCAAAATTTCCTATAAGTAAGTGAAAATAAATGTTTGTGTTTGGATAGGAAAGAATAAAGGAGAAATAAAAAAAGCAGAAAACAAGGATATGTATCAAGAAGCTTGGGGAAGCCAGCAAATTGAGCTCATGCAGTTGAACTTGTTACCTTTGAGTGAATATTTCTGACTAATGCATGGCTTTTAGAAAATTTTAGTCTTTTCTATTAAAGACATCTTAATTTTGAGATTGTATGAAGTGAGTAAGAGAGCAATTAGAAAGCTCCTGAAAATGAGAGGTTTTTTTTCAGGAATAAATTATATGGGGGAATTAAATGTAAGAAATTAAAGAGATGATGGTTTAAAGAGATGCTACAGTAAGTGTAGCATTGAAGAGCATATCTCTGAAACATTTACAGATCATTTTGATTTAACAGTGTTTCTCCTTACAGTCCTTCTGCACCAACAGAGGTTGTTAGTTTTGATGAGTTCATCATCTTCCTTTGTGAAAGCAAAATGATTCTCAGTCCTTCAGTGGATGAAGAATAAGCAATTTTGTTCAGATTTCACCCGGATGATCTTTGCAGCAAGGAACAAGATTTGCAAAATGTCAGCTCTGAGGAGGAGTCTTCTTTATTGGGAAAGTGAAGGAGAGGATTTGATGAGATGGTAGTACAAGGAAAGAGAATAATTTTTCTTGTGTAATTTACCTGCACATCAGTCAGTTCTAGGAACTGTATAACTGTTTTCAGTTTACGAGGTGTTTTCTCTGCCTTGCAGATGGACATCTTGCAAAGAGACTATTGCAAGACTGAGGGGCTGGGAGGTTGCTCCAACAGTTGTGGGCATGAAGAAAACGCAGTATTTCCTTGACACATTTTAGAGAGACTGTCTATTTTCTAAACTTATGGAGAATCCCCATTGTGGTTTGAATTGCAGCAGTTAATTATGATCCAGTACTGACTGGCTTAATGTGGGCTCCACCAAATGAGTTGATGAAGCCCATGTCGGAAGCTCTGGATCTCTTTCCATGGTAGAATGTTCCTGGTGAATTGTAATTCTCATCTTAAGACAACTGAAATCACCAGAGCCTTTAATTCAGGACACAGATCTGCTGGCACACTGTTCAGTGAAGCATCGTCACTGAAAGGCTCGTTAGGAATTAATTTGATGTATTTGTGGTCAGTGTTGTGGATTTAACATTGACAATTTTGGTTTTTGCTGCTTGCCCAGCATTTTCTTCCTAAAGACATGTCATGTAGTCCTTGCTAAAAGCAGGCCAAATTCATGTAAGTATTTAAGTTGGTAGAACCCTCTAACTCATAACTGAGCAGTTACTTTGCCTTTTTTAAAGAATGGTGGAGGAAAGCAGGCTCAGAAGACTCCTTAGTGTTACAAACAGGAGCACTGAGTGTGTTGTGTGTTCCTGCAGGACCATAATAGGATGTGGGTTAACATGCAGCCCAACAGAAATGCGACATTTTCATTTAAATTCAGTGCTTTTTAAATGCAGTACAAGTGTGTGTGCAGTATTTCTGGTGACTGGTTTCCTTCAGAGCATTGTTGCATCAGATGGGCTGATGGGTGAAAGTAGTTTCTGCAGAAGGAAGGCTAAAGGGCAAACAGAGTCTCCAATCATTAAATTAATAGATCATTCTCTTTGATACTTGCTTTTTAGATAGGTGTTCCAACACAGGCACCCATAGGAAGAACAACTGCCTGTCTATGTGAATGTAATTTGTGAGTAGTGCTGATTATACATTTTGCTGAAGGCACTAGATGCTTTGGACTTAGCACCTGCTGCTATGGTTTAGAGGGCAGGATGCTGACTGTTCTTTGGCCCTGCTGCTGCCTTCCTGTGCAATGCTGAACAAATCACATAACCTTTTGCTACCATAATTTTTTGATCTACTAATGAGGGCTAATGCCCTCTATTCACCTCTGGTGATTTGCTCTGAGATACCTTGTTAAAATGAGGAATTGAATTGTTTTCTGTTCCTGGTCTTTCCTATTCAGGAAGTAAATAAAACATAAATGGATGGATGTGGTCATCCACTTTGACATGCCATGGGTTCTGAAAGTTGTTTGGATGACCATGATTAAAGATGGCTTACACCGACTGCTAATGTAGGTCATCACAGCTTCTGGACTCTCTGTCCTAACTTGTGTGTTGATTTGTTTCCATTTCATCTTGTTACAGTTCTGCAAATAACTTTTACCCTGGCCCTTATTGCACTATTACTGCATTTCTCTCAGCTGTATGAATATCAAACAGTGAATGCAACACTGAGTCCTTGAATGTTCTCCAAACATGGCATCTATAGGTGTGGCCTTCTCTACAGTAATTCCAGACTTTATTGACTGTGCTCAGGTATCCTAAGATACCTGAGAACTTGCCCTTGTGTGGTACCTGCTTTAGTCTCTCTGAAAACTTGTACTAGGGTGCTTAAGTGTAGGGGTTTCTAGAGTTAAATGCATCAATTAACTAGATTTCAGTCCTTCTTCCCACTCTCTTTTGTCACTCATGCTTGTTCTGATGACCATCTTTCTTCACGCTAAATTGCAAAGCTTGTTTTTTTTTTGTTTTTTTTTTGCTTTTAATTTTGTGTTTTTCTGTTGCAGCGCATTTGTTTGCCAGGTTGGTTGGCTAGAACACAGAGATATTGACCAAGGAGGGGTTGCCAAAAGCTCTGTTCTGCCCTTTTTCTTTCAAAAAGAACCTCTATGTGATTTTTATTAAAACATGCCTGCTCCTTTTCCTCCAGAACATGGTAGCTTGCATGTGTGCTGAGCTGTGTGCATGATACATCTTAAAGTATCTGTGAAGGGCACCAATGGAAATTTTGTATACTGTGGGGAAATACAGTTTCAATATGTAAATTCCTTTTTCCACAGTGAGGTCTGGAAAAAATTCCTCATCATCTACCAGGCATTTAATCAGATGTGTTCCCTTAACCTGATGTAATTGTAAATTGTGTGGTAAGTCAGTCCTGGTGTTCTGAGCTCCAGGTGTAGGAGGGAATTGTGCCTAGTGCAGACAAGGCAGCCCTTGTCTGGTGTGAGCTTAGTTTCCTGAGAGTGGGAAAATGTGGATTGTGCAGGACTAATCTTCTAATCTCTACATATCATATGCTTTCATATGTAAATATGTATTTATATTTAACTGTACCAAAGTTGGTTCTGTCTTAAGTATATGGTAACATTGATCTAGATTGCTTTAATTACCAGCATAAATATCAGGATAACTATGAAGAATGTGCCTTACCAGGGTTTCTA